CACTATATGTCATTAAATATTTCCTATATAGTTAAATAAAATATTTATATACGATAATTTCATATACATATGTATGTACTATGATATGCGCGATGTGTATGTAAATATAATACTTAATATAATACCCGTAGCTATATGAAATATATTATGTATGTAGGTATGCATACATAAATTGCAGAATAATTTTAACATATGACATAATAAGTATATTGTAATGAAAATCAGAAAATTGATTGGTAACAATTTTGTTGACATAAATCAAATACATAAACCGAAGAAAATATATTCATATCTATTTATTCAATATGTATGTATATATTTATGTATGAATATATACTCTTGCTTAATAGGAAGAAATAATGTAGTAATCGCTCTTACAATAGGAAGATGTAAAAAAGAAATTCTCATTATTTTTATTATTTACTTTTTTCTCTCTCTTCTTGTTTTTGTGTTTTTTCTGGTAAAATTGGTTTTGATTGTTTTGTAATTTTTTATAATGTTGAGGTTATGTTTTTGATATGTGTCAATATTTAATTCAATTAACACAGATATTAAAAATATTGATATGAAATTAAATTTCGTTTCTGTATTGTTTATTTTATGTTGGTTTCCAAAATTTTTTTTTATAGTATTTAGCATATTCTTTTATTTTTGTTAATTTTAGAGTATTTAATATTTGTTAAGGGGATTGTAAATTACAATAAAATTGAAGAATATTTTTGTTAGATTTAATTGACTTTGTCTCATCTTAGGCAATACGGTTTTTAAATGCTTTAAATAATCTTAAAAATAATTTGTAAATTATATTCTGTCTTAAAGGGTTAATGAGTCTTAATTGGTGCCGAATTATTTTAAATAAATTGCATTTCGATTTTATTGTACATGTTTGTCCGGAAATGATATTAAAGATTTTGTGGGGTGATTCCTTGGAATTTTGTTTTGGAAAAAATGTTGTTCGTGTGTGTGCAAAGTACATTTGTGTAAGAAATAAATATTTGACTATATTTGTGTGAGAAAATTGATTCCCTTTTGTGAGCCCAAGATTTCTCATGCTGAATGTTGAACGACTCTTAAACCCTCGGGATGTGAAGGACCAAAGGATTGAACTCATGTTTCAACTATTTTATTTTTTAAATTTCTTTTTATAACTTGGAAATTTGGGAACACTTCACTATATATATTTCAATAATTTATTTTGTAGCGCTATATTGTTTCATGTCCTTTGACTGATTTTAGTAAAATTTATGATTTTTTCAAAAACAGAATGGATAAATTTTAGATTTCAATATTATAATAAAAGATCCTTCATAAATTTAGTATCTTAAATATATATATACATATATCGTACATTTATAACGATAAATAAGCATGAATAACTTTTAAACTTTTACTTTATAAAGGTTGCATTGATTTTCTTAGAAATTATTTCAATACAATTTTTATTCAATATATTATACAAGTTAAGATTAATCTGCGGGATTACAATACAAAAACAAACTTATTCATTTCATTTTATTTTTAAAATATATGCATATATAATTTATATGTATATTTGTGTATATTATAAAAATGAAAGTATAGAGAAAATCCTTGAACTTTTCTATAACATACATGTTATACAGTATAGTTCAGAACTTAGTTAAAACTGTATTTGGCATTTCTTTTCTGTTTTTTTTTTCTATCTGGGTAAAAGTTTTTCTTTGACCATTATAAATAATATTTGTGTATATGTAGCTGGGTGTATGTATATTAGATATGTATATGTATGCTGGGTGTATGAATTGTATGTGTATGTATATTAGAATGAACTATTAGTTAAGTTTAAATGGAAATCATTAATTCATTAACCTTTGTTTGGGATAAAAAGAAAAGTTATTTATTTATTTTGTAAAGAAGATTTATAATTTTAATGTACATTACATGTGCTTACAATTCTTAGATTATTAATTGATGTAATGAGTAAGTTGTGTGTAATTTACTTAAGTATAAATGTTACAAAAATAATTCTGGGATTAAAAATTAATATTAAAAGAAAAATCTATTTTGTGGAGTTGTTTGAGAATTTTTTTATGTTGATTTGATAATACGTATACTATGTCAAGTCACAGTTTGGTATTCTTAATAAAGTTAAATTGAAAGCTCACTCAAATGAAAATAACACAAAAATTTTAGTCACTATAATAATTTTGGTTAGAAAATTGCTTAAACTGCTCAGTAGTGGGGTTAACTTTGTAATTTCATATTACACGGTTTCCATTAACAGGTTTTGATAATCATTAAATTTGATAATTGAATTAAATTGCGTTAAACCATAAACATGATCATGCAGTTAGGATTTTTGGTTATATACATATGTACATACAATATTTGTTTCATTATTCTCCAATTTCGAATTCGGAAATATAAAATTTATAACTTTAGTAGGATCATATATTCAATTATAATTAATAATTCTAATAAAAGAATAATGAATTTTCAATGAAAACCATTATTTAAATTTTAAACATAACATGAAATTAATATTAATTTTTGGGACCAATATAACATAGAACAAAAAATCATTAATCATTCCATTTTTTATATTATATTTTTCTTTCTGGGAAACCTTTCATATATCCGAATAAATATCAATTTTCCTGTTAAAGCGTTGTACATATATTTTCATTTATGTGGCAGAATATGAAAAAAAAAATTAAATTCTGTGATACGAATAACTTTTATGTGATTGACCTCATTAACTATTTACTAAATAAATCATAATTCGAAATTATTTTAAAGATATTACTTTTACTTTATCAATTATTTCATTTATAAAGAATTCGTAGTTTGTAATAAGAATTTTGTAGTACAAAGGTTTCAATTCTTAGAACATGATTTTATATTGAAATAATTTACTAAGGTTAAATGCTAAAATGTACAACTGTTTTCATCTCAATGACAACGAAATTATGTCGTAAGCATAAGTGAATATAATTAATTTTTGAATTCTTAATAAAAATTTTGAAGTATAAAAACAATATACATTGGATCTTTAAAGAATTCATTGGGTAAATATGAAATACAAAATGGAAATTTTCATAACAGTGATTACTCATAAAATTTTTACAAATATTTAGTCACTATTCCTTGGAAAATTGTATAGAATAACAAAATTTTTGCATATAAGAAAGAGTAAGCAAATTACAAAAATACTATTATAAAAAATGTAGAAAATGTAATTAATAATAATTTTTATTCAGAAAAATTCAGTAAAATTAAGTTCATTGATTATGTTGTTTGGTTCACTTATTTTGATCTATATGATTTAAAGATTATTCACATTTGATATTTATCAAAGCTATTAAATTCCAATATTATTTTTAAAAAATATACTAGTAGAAGTAAAAGAGGGCGACTCGCCTGACCATCCATACAAAGCCCATGCACTAGGCCAAGAAGAAGGCCCATCGGCAACACTGAGACTAACATCTCACAGCTCCCTTTCTAATACAATCCATAACACCATCTACCGGAACCAATTAACATCATTGTTGATTCTCAAAAGCCCCGCCACAAAATCGCCCGATAGGTACTCCAGGCCGGCTCTTCTTCCACATCAGAGAGACATGGGCATAAAAAATAAAAATTATGCTAAAATGTTTTAAAAATATTTGACTTAATAAATTTTCTTTAAACAAAAAACAATTGCTCCTATTACTCGCTTATTGTTTTTTTGTTTTTTTTTTTATAATTTTTTAGAAAACTCAATGCTCGTGAGCGCAATCACACTGAGTAATCACAAAATTGTATTAAGGTTTGCATTAAATCTGAAATCATTTTGTTTAAATCTTACTTGAAATTTCTTTCTAGTTGAATTTTGAAAAATGTAAGAACTTGTTATTAATTAAGAAATCTCTCAAAATTAAAATATCATTCGAATTGAGTTTAAATTGTGTTCTAAAAGTATAGACCTGAAAAGTACTGAATTTTTGCTAATATTAAAGGTATAATATACAAAATTAGGCTAAATTTAATGCTAAAAATATCTTACCCTTATATATCAGTGCTCACTTCATCAGAAAAATATTCAAAAACTATTTCTTCTTATAAAATATTTTAATTTTGTATTTTCTTATATTGTGGACCTTTTTTTTTGAATTAACATGTCTCCCATTTCATTAACATAAAATTTTAGTTATAAAATCAAAATAAGTACCTATATACCTGAATATTTTTTGTAAAAGTGAAGAAGCCTTAATATACATAATATAATATTTTATTTATTTAAGAACCTGTAAAATATCCCCTAAAATAAAAAAATATGTTATCCTTTTATGAAAATTCCATTTGAATTCCTCCTGTTTTCCGATCATGTATTTGAAATTTAATTGATTCCTTTTTTAAGGAAACATGCTTTAAAAAGGAATTTTTGTTATTTTTATCCCTTTGGTGGTTTTATTTTTCCTATATTTGAAGTGTTCTTTAAATATAAAAATTTAAATTTTATGTGTTTTTGACGATGAAAATGTAGAGGTTTTTAATTGATCAAAAGAAATTTTAATGTACAAAGTTTTGTAAACTATCGTTCATTAAGCAAACATTATAGAATAAGGTCCTTTTTGTAAAAAAATGCTTCTAACGATAGTGGATTTAAAACAATCTCTAAAATATCAACGAGTAATATGGTTGAAAGAGCTAATCTACATGAGAAAATTTCATTACTCGCTTGTTATTAAGTAAAAGTATGATTATATTTAAAATTCCGTTACAATAAGCTGTTAAAAATTATTCTTCATTAATTATTTAAGGTTACCTTTCATAAAATTCAGGTGAAACTATAATTTTTATATCTAAACCGTATTGTTTCAGTATGAGTGAGCTTTTTGGAAGTTTTGAATATATTTTTAAGCACCTAATAAATTTTATTCTTTATATTAAGGTCCTGTAGATAAAATTATTTTAAAGCATTGGTTACTTTTAAATTCAATTAAATAAAAAAATATGGTTTATTATTTTTATAGGGTGAAAAATACGATGGTCGAAGAGCGGATGTATGGTCTTGTGGTGTAATTTTATATGCTTTACTTGTTGGTGCTTTGCCCTTTGATGATGATAATTTAAGACAGCTTTTAGAAAAAGTTAAACGTGGTGTATTTCATATACCACATTTTGTTCCGCCAGATTGCCAAAGCTTATTACGTGGCATGATTGAAGTGAATCCTGATCGTAGATTAACCGTAAGTATTTTGTTTATTTTTCCTTTTTTTTTGAGGTTTCCAATTGAAATTTTCAATTTGCCATTTCAATTATTTACAAAAAAACAAATATGAAAAAGAAAAGTTTTTTCTTTGACTCAAAATTTTCTTTAAAAATCCTTTTATTTTGAATTTCCAATAGAAAAAATAATTGAAATAGAAAAAGTAATTTTCTGTTAATAAGATTTTTAGATTTAGGGAATAACATATCTGAAATATACAAATGCGTACAGTCTTACACTTTACCCATTTACCCAGCAATATAATTAAAATACAGCTAGGCGTAACAAAATTTCTTATGGAACTTGAGTCCTTTTTAATTTGATGTTTTTTTAAACAGTAGTTTGAATTCGGTTTCACCATTTCAAAAATGAATTACTCATACCTTAAAGACCTGGGGACCTACTACGTAATTTTCATGAAACGACTTTCGTATTTGGAAAAATGGTAACGTAGTATCAATCATTTTGTATGATACTATCTGATGTTTCACGAAAATTGAATTACAACTGAGGCCCCTGTACCGAAATGCATGTTTGTACAAATGACTTTTTGTAATGGGAGTCATTTCAAAAGAACGGAGCGTTCTTCCCAACAAAATATTGTTGTAAAACTATAAATTTTTAAAGTATCCGGGAAGCAATTAAATTTTAATATTAAAATTTTAGAAATTTAGTATAAGACTATTGTTCAAAAGAAAAAAATTTGCTTAGTTAAATTTAAAATGTACAAAATTCATATTTGGCATTAACAAGTTTAGTACCACATGACAATTATATTTTAAATTATGTGTGTATTACATTTAGTTCTTAATTTTTCACATTAAATATTTTTCATAAATGAATGAATTTTCTTTTTATATAAATAGTTAGCAGAAATTAATCGTCACCCTTGGGTAACCGCTGGCGGTAAGGGTGAACTTGAATTAGAATTACCAATGATGGAAGTTGTTCAAACACATGTGATACCTACTGCCTCGGCTGTTGATCCGGATGTATTAAATGCTATTTGTTCATTAGGATGTTTTAAAGAGAAAGATAAATTAATTGCAGAATTACTTAGTCCAAAGTAAGTATACCTATACATTTATATATTGTATGCACAGGCTTTTTCCTGACTTGTTCGGCACCCTACGCGTTTTCCAAAATATTCACTCCTCCTTCTCGCTTCCCCTTCCCCCTTTTCTTTATAAAGAAAAAAAATTTGATTGAATTACTTTATAAATAGAAAGAAAAAAATGTTTGAAAAACTTGAGAAATATTTTCTATTCTTTTAAAATTAGTTTTTTTTTTTTAGTCTTCAATGGCGCTTCTTGTTCTGCGCCTATAACAAATGCTTACTTTCCATTTATAGTAGATCCGACATGTGTACATATATATTTGTTTTTACAATACGGCCAGGTTTAATTAATTTTGTTTTTTTTGAACGCCATTTTTTTTAGTCATAATACGGAAAAGGTAATTTATTTTTTGTTATTGGAACGAAAACGACGTAGACCAGCATTAGAAGATGAAGATGAAATACCGAAACCAAGACAAGATACTGATGTTATTGATCCACCACGAAAACGTTTAGATTCATGTCGTGTTAACGGTTCAAATTGTTTAAATTTGGGTCAAATAAGTGAAGGATCACCATTAACACCTAGAAGGCAGGCGTTCAAGTACGTTTTTTTTCTATATTTTATAAAAATGGTTTTCTTTTAAGTTTTTAATTTTTTTTATTGAATTTTTGTTTTATGAAATGTGAGAGAAAGTTATTGATTTTTTGTTTTTTGAGTTTTAATTTTTATTTTTTCTTTTTGGGTTTTAAAAAAATTCTAAATAAAATTTTATTCTTTAAGTTTTGAAGAAGAAATGAAAAAGAGATGTTTATATTGTCAGGATTTTTCAAGTATTTTCTTTATTCAACTTCGATGATTTAGTTTTAAACATTTTGAATTTTTTCATCTTTAGTTAAATTTTAATTTAATTTTTTTAATAATGTTTAAATATATTTAGTTTTATCTCATAATTACTTCATGTTTTTTTAAATTTTCTGTTTTGAAATGTCATCCAATTTGAATTATTATTTTTTTTATAGTTGTTTTGTTGCATGTTGACATGTGGCTGGTTTATATAACATCCTTATATAATCGAAATTACATATATACTATTGTTATACTATTGTTATACTATTGTTATAATGTTTTATTGTTATTCATCACTTGTTATTTCAAAAGATCTGTACTTTGTTATCTCTGGTTAGTAAAAACAAAAAAAAACTGTTTGCACAAATTCTTTAATTTTTTTTTTATTTTATAGTCTAAGTGCACATCATGCAAAAAATAATTATTACAAATTTTGTATTATACACAAAATTTATATTAATTCATATTTTATATTAAAAATACAAAATACCGATACCAAAATTATTGTATATACAATTGTATATGCATATAAAAGTTATGCATATTATCAACTATAGTTAGAATCATTTATCATGAACTGAAACATCATTGCACTGTAAAAAAAATCTTCAATTCTTAATGATTACAAATTTAGAAATAATTTAAATATGTACATACACACATACTGTCTGATGCATGTTCAAGTATATATAGGCTGTTCAATCAAGTTAATTGCAGTTAATTTATTGATAATTATGTATTATGTTATTAATTGTTATAAAATTACAAAAACATAACAAGAACATTGTTTTCTTCTATGTCAAATACAACCAACAAATACAAAATATACGAAATATAATACCACGGTTGAATTCACAGGAAATTATCATAGGTACTTTCAGATACACAAATTTAATACATATATACATATTTTGGACAAATTTACATGACATTTTGATTTGTTTAAATATGTTTCGACAAGAATAATTTATTCAAAAATTGCTAATAAATAATAAAGTTATTACCATCAGTTAGAATTTTTGTATTTATTTTGAATGTAAGTATAAATTAATTATTGAACATAAGAAATTATTAAACTGAGTATATTTTTTGCTCAACTGGAACGGGTATAAAAGAACAAAAACTGAGCTATATATTAAAAAAATCGAAAATTTTATACATTTATTTTCATTTAATAATTTCTATTAAAAGGAATTTATCTGAATAAATTTCTCCATCTATCAGATTATAGGAATCAACAAGTAAACCAGACTTATTCTTCCGCAATTAATTGCACAAATTATAAAATCCCTTTTTTTCTTTTAATAAATTACCTTCAAATACTATGCCCTGCGCTACATTTATATGTCATAGTTCATCCAATACTAGTAATACTAATACAGGTTAGGAGCCATATAGCATCAGGCAGAGGGTCGAAAATGAGTAAAATTTTTGTTCGGAACGTAGCGTTAATCGAAACCGTTACCAAACTACAGAGATTTTAAGAAAATTTGACGAAATCTTAACATACTTAAGTTTTTTTGCTTCTAAATTTCGTTCCAAAAAGGGTAGAAGTTTCAAAGAAATAGTTTTTTAAAGAGCTTTAAGAGCTTTACATCTTTAAAATCTTAAAGTACAAATGGTTTTTTTTTTTGCTATGTCTCCTATACCGCAAAAGATTTTTTTAACGACTTAAATTTTGAAAATTTCAATCATAAAACTCATATTATATTGAAATGATTAAATATTAAATTTTCAATTATTTAAAGATGAAGATTTTAAGGAGGCTGGTCGAAATAAGTATTTCTATAAATTATGGTTAAATTTTCATCTTTAAGTGTAATGAAAATTTTAGAAAGCCATTTAATATATCACATAATTGTATTATTTATTTCACAGCTTTATCTTCTATATTTCACGTCTGAAATAGATTTTTAAAGAAAATAATAAGATACAAGACGATTAAATTTTAATAATTACAATTTCTTTTCCAACATAATTACACTATGGTCTGATTTTATATTAGAAATTTTCAAGGACTTTATTGTCAAATATATTTTTTGAATTGCCACTTCAATTTTATTCGTTGACTCTTTTCATACATTCCTTGTCAGTTTCGCTCGTTATTGATTTTAATCACATAATTACATTTACATGTATAAATTTTAATATCGAAAGAGCTTTGCAGCTCTTTTATGTATGAAACATACATATATTATTAAAAAATTGTAATAGTAAATAAAAAGTTTGCTTTAAATTATTAAATTTTCAAGGTTTATTTAATAACTAACACGGTAACACGTTCTTAAAATTATTTCATGCAACAATTTTGTTATTATTGCAAAGTAAAATACTCGTATATAATTTCTGAAATTTTACCACATACAGAAGAAGACAGTTTCTTACTCTTATAATAATATAAAATTTTACTATGTAGGTATGTAGGTAGTTGATTTCATATTTATTGAACATAATCTTATTAAAATTAAATTAACCACGTATTCTTTCTTATAAGTATATAAGAGATAAATCTACAAATGACATCAAGACACCATATATACACAATATACATACATAAATACATACACATACTTAATAATATTATATTTTATTTCTAAGAAAAAGTTTTCAAAAGTGTGGATAAAATTCTTTTGAATTTTCAAAATAAAAAAACCAAAAAAAGAAAATATAAGAAAACGCTATTTTTGTAATTTTTTTTTTTCTTAAAAAATTAATTTCTTAAAATGTAAGACTTGTATAGAGAAATTATTAGATTGTACAAAATTTTGTACGAAAAATACAAATGGAAAATACAAAATGAGATATGTGGATAAAAATTTTCTCTTAATTAATTTTTTATATTTTTAAAAAGTTTTTCCTTGAAATAATAGTTGTATTTTTATTAATTTTCTTTTCATATATATACATATGTGAAATTGTATATTTCATTTTCTAAATTGAACTTTTGAAACCAAAAGCACCCTAAGTTTTCTATATAATTGAAATATTTTTAATCCTTTTTATTATTTTCAACAAATTGTCTTATTTCGCTTTATTATTATTAAAAAAAAAATACAATTGCAAAATGTTGTATTAAAGTTTTTGTTTTTTTATTTAAAATTTCCCACTTAAACTTTCCTTCGAGAAACTTTTATTAACACAATATTATAAAATCTTATATATAATTGGAATTTTTTATATAACGTTGATTAAGAGTTCATGAATGATTATTTACAACAGGTGAATATATCTATATATTTCGGTATATACCTGAAACTTATTTTAATACAAATCTATATATGTGTATATGGGGTGATTCAGTAAAGAGTATACTATTATATTATATCACTGTTTGGAACATTAAAAATGGGTAAAATTTTTGTTTGGAATTAGTTGTCAAATCTCAACTGATTTCGAGAAAAATCTTAAAATTTCACTTTTTTACTAAAATAAAATGACAGCTTTGTCTATGTTTTTAAAATGTTAACTGTCAAGAGTAACCATAGTAAATATTAGTGACAATTTTTTTGATGTTTTACATTTTATTAAGCCCTTTAAAATTTTGACATAGAAATGGTTTTTGTGATATATCTCCTTTACCATAAAACATTTTGTAACGTTTGAGGACTCAAATCAGTACTATACAACAGCTGTGTAAAATTCTGTAAAAAGAAATTCAAAATTTCAAAAAAATTTATACGAAATTATCGAGTTACATAAAACTAAAAAAATCAAAACAAGGGTAAAATTTGATTTTTTATAAATTTGGAATGCTTTGCATTCCGAAAGTGCATAAAACACAAAAGTAAGTAATACGTTGCTTTCAAGTCCTTTGCTCTAGCTTTTTCAGAAATTATTCATTTAAAACTTTTATCTTTTTCGGAGAAAACGTTTTAACTATTTTTGATGCCCTTAACAATGAGATATATTGTGCGCTTTACTGAATCACCCTGTATATAAGTATAATATGCGACTAACAAGTTATACAAGTTCGAATACAGAATCGATAACGAATCGGAGCATACAAAAAATATGCTAAAAATATGCTAAAAGAAATTTTTGTAATATTGATAAGATTTATTTTGTAAAAGTTATAAATTGTGAAATAAAATTATTTCATAAATTTCAAAATAATTATAAAGGTTATTATATACATGTTCCAGCAACTTATGTCTGTAGATCTTAGTTGATATTGTTAACATTTAAAATTCTCATTGATTCTTAAATGTTAAAGATGTTAGTTTTATCACAACTACGATAATTTCTTATGATCACAGCGAATATGCAATTCAGCAGGATTTAATTGTCGAGTTTCTTGCAAAAATCATGCCAAAATGATTCAATTGAAATATATATAGAGAAACCGCATATTGTTAAATATGATAATTCATTAAATTCAGATAAAAATATTCAATTTCAATTGTGAAATTCGCAAGGTTGTTTACTTTACAACAAATTCTGAAAATAATTTAAATATCGTCGTTTTTGTAAGTGATTTACACATTTTCAGCAAACTTCAATTTATTACGTAACACTTTTATTTGAATCCATAAGGCAATTGATATTTACTTGGGCCCGTAAAGAATAAGTGTCCTATATACGTAGTTAATTATTTTGAAAATTTTGAATTTACCAATTCAGCATTTTTATTTTTCCGAATCCTCAGCAAAAGATTTTGATAAATAATTTCAATATTTGGATAACAAAACGCATTTTTATATATGCAATACGCATAATTTTGTATGAGCCTACAAACATTTTAAATGAATATTAAAATTAATAAAATTTTCATATTAAATTTTTAATTTTATATCAGCAGTTTCCTTTGTTTGTTTTAATAAATTTTTGAATTTAATTAAATTTTATATATAAAATAAAATTTTAATATCTAATCTTTTAACATAAACAATAAGTTCGTGTGTATAAGTTTGTTCATATGTATATTTGCGTATTGTATATGTGTTTATGTAAATTAATGTTAGTCTGTAAAATTAAAACCATTTATTATCACTTTATCAGTTGTGAGAACTGATGCGTAAAACCCGATTTTTATGTCGAAATTTCCCTTTGATTGCTCTCTTTTTAAAACCTTTTTTTAAATTTAATTATTAAATTCCCTTCATCGTCGTTGTTTTTTATAATGCATTTTTTTTTTTTCAAAAAAAAAAAAGGGATGAAACTTTTTTTATTAAAACATTTGTTTTTGTTTTTTGTTTTGTATTTTGTGTGTTTTTTAACGATCAGCCATAACATATTATCAGAAACATGTGAACAAAAAACAAAAAGATAACAGTAAAACTTTAATAAAAACATAAAAAAATAAAAAAAAAGACTTGCTATTTTTATTTTTCATATGAAAATAATTAGAACAAGAAGAAAACAAAACAAAAAATATACATATCTCTCTTTCTTTCTTATTTTTACTCATTATTATTTTTTTACTCTCTTGTTGCTGCTTATAAAAATGTTCTGTGCTAAAACATAAATATTTTATTTTCCGTTTTTTTCTGTTTCACTTTTATGTTTCTTTATTATTATGTTTTTTAATTTCATTAATTTTGTTTTTGTAATTACATTAAAAAAAAAACAAAATTTAATTTTTTTTCGTGTTTAATCATAAATTCTTTTATAATTCACAAAATTTTACTTCATTCATTTCATTCATTCATTTTCATTGTTCTTTTAACGAAAATTTTATTATTTCACCTAATTTTTACCGTTATTTTATTATCTTTACCGTACATTTTATTATTCTTTGTTTGTTTATTTTTTTTCAATTCTATTTGTTAATTTTGTTTGCTTTTATTTTTTTGTTTTTTGTGTTCATTCCTTTATTTTTTGTTTTTTGTCTTTTTTATTTTTTTTTGTGTTCTTTTTCTGTGCATTTATAATTACAGTTTCCGCTCCTATAGCAATGCAAGGAATCATAATGCTCGCCGTTCACCGTCATCAGCAGCAACAATACGTTCATCATCATATCATAGTCCAACACGTGGTGGTTCACCAATAAATGCACCACAAACAACAATTATATCACGACCATCATCACCGGCAACAACAATTGTATCACCATCGGCAAGACATTCAACGCATTCACCAACACCGGTAACACGTACACCATCGCAAACAAGTAATACAGCTGATTCAAATAATACATCACCAGCACATCATCGTGCCAATTCTGGTCCAACAATAGCGATTAGTTTATTTCAAGATCCAGAAAGTAATAATGGTAAGTTAAAATTTGCATTTGTTTATAATTTTTAAACAACAATAATTTTGTTAAATGTGCCACGTTTGTATATGAACATTTATACATATACCTATATTAAATGAATTACTGTATAGGGGTACAATTGGAGGGAGAAGTGAAGAAAATTTTGCATTATTTGTTTTATTTATTCATTTTCGTTTTACATTTATAATTAAAATTGATTTTTTCTTTATTTAAAATTTTGTAAGATTTTGTAAATAAAAAAAAGTGATTTCTAAACAAAGATTATTATATAATATGGGATATATGTACACCCATAGGTATACATATTTTTACTATATATATAACATGTACAAAGTATGTATGTATGCAACTGTATTTGAATTGCTATGCTTTTAAATCGCAAGTAAATGTTTTGGGAATATTAAGAAAAAATTCTGTAATTACCTTTATTTGGATAATATTGAATGAAAAATTAAATTTTTACCTTAAATTTAATATCACAAATCATTTTTATTTAAAACAACGAATAAATTTACCTTTTGAAACAGACACCACGCAACAAAATTTTTAACAAAAATTCAAGCTATCGTCTTTCACAGTTCTCGAAAATTATTTCTCCAAAGTAAAAATTCTATCAAAATTCTATCAAAAACTATAATTTTTGCATGATAGTGTATCTGTTTTTCTCTGAGCATTACGTAGATGGTTTGATGAGACTCATAAATTTTTTACACACTGATTGCAACATCTATACAATATGGTTTATAAAGACGATTAAAAAAAACGGCATTTTAGTTTCACTCCGTTGTCCGTGGACTCCTTTACAAAATTTCTACACTACCTTGATATCTTCAATTATGATAAAACTTTCCGTAGAAGAAATCTAAATCCACCTCCGTAAAAATAAAAGCCCTTACAATATCTTAAAATTCCATTTTGTTAATATTTATTTTAATGAAATCACAAGCAGTTCTCAAATTTTGCAAACGCAGAAAAGTAACATCTAGTTTCTTCTACTGCGGCACAGTACAGTTTACTTTAAAAAAAAAACAAGGTCGTTAAAATTAACGGTTATCTAATATCGGGTTAGATGATTAGCTGTAGGACCCTAAACATAAGCTGTATTTTACCAACTTTTATATATTAATAAATAGTTTATTCTGTAAGAAGAACCTTTTTTTTTACATCACCCTCTCTCATTTTATCGCTTCTCGAAATTTGTAAAATTTGAGTTTTTGAGCACCTTATAATTATTTCCGAAACTGAAAGCTTACGGTATATGCTATACTATTATATATAATTATTTTTCTTGACTCACGCAATCAACTCTTGAATTCAAGCATTACAATATTAATTCCTCTTTCAATTTTGTCACCAAATCCTGAATGTATGCAATCTTTGAAATATTTTGTTATATGAATAAAAGTAATTTTAAAAATGTAGCAGCTTGTTTTTAAAAGCATTATTTTCACTTGTTGAAGCGAAAAAAGCTGCTTTACGGTTTTATTAAAGGTTATTAGAGGTTTTATTAAGGTTTTATTAAAAATCATCCTGAACTCGGATGATCAAAATCGTCTTGCACTCGGCATCTGCAATTAGAAAACCTTGAAATTCGACTGACTTCTGGTCTTTGACTTTGCAGATCTAATAATCAGTCTACAAATTACAAGAATATTCTTGATTTAAAAATTTAAAATTTTAATTATAGTAAAAGTAAATTATAAAATAATGAACAAATATTTTTAAAAGTGTAAGCATATTTTAAACATTATATATTATAATAAGGTGTTTGAATAAATTATAAACATATTATTTTTGCTTACATAATATTATGTACATATCATAAAATAAAAATAGCTTCAGAAAAGAAATACAATGTAGAGTAAGACACTCTGAAAATTAACAAGGTGCAAATAAAACACAATAAATTTAAATATTAATTATATATGTAGCAAGAGCTTCAGACTATAAATATAAAAAAATAATATAAAAAATGCAACATAATTTTAAGAAACTTTATATGTAGAACAAAAAACAAACTTTTAATTTATTTCAGTTTTAATTAGTTCTAATAATTCGAATAAAATATGTTCTGAAACAATTTCAATATATTATGTAATCAAACTATTTAAATTATTTTCTTTAAACTTTAATTTTGCAAAGTATGTGCAATTGACGTAAATTAAGCATCTTCCTTCGTAGTTAGTAAACTACATACTTTTTAAATTGAATGTGTTCATTTAAAAATAACATAATTAAATTTTAAATTTTCATAAATTATAAATATTAAAATTTAAAGACATTTATTTATAATATTTTGAAGAATTAACATTATTAATTTCCCATATTTAACAAATTTATGGGAAGTATATCTATAAGATTTGGTTTTTGATATAGTAATAGTTCCTGTTTACCTCAATGTAATATTCTATTTTAATAAGGATTTACATCCTGTAATAAATCTTTGTACTTATACAATTCTATAGTGCAACAGAAGTAGTATAAAATAGATGAAAAAAATTTTACATGCAAATTTGCATATAATAAATTCGAATAAAGCCAATGGTTTTTAAGGTAGCACATTTCCCTTAAACAAGAATTATTTGCAATATTCTAACATATTTCATACAGATTAATTATTGATTTTATTTTATAATTTCTTAGTTTGTTGGGATTTATAAATAGCCTGAAAGGAGGGAGCTAAGTATATGTTAATATAGAAATAGATTTCTTCTAACGGAACTAACCATATATTATAATGTCTAGAACTGATAAACTTTAAAAATTTAAACAGTTATTTTCAAAGACTATTATGCAATGGTCACATTTGCTTTCCCAATATAAAAAGCAAATTGTTTGCGTTTGTGAAATTCTAAATGTTTGCTGTTTGTGAATTGTGAAAAAAAAACATTTTAAAAAATTTTATAGTTAAAAAAAGTTTTAAAAATTTGTTAGAAAAATTCATAATTTTTAGAAAAAAAAGAGCATATCGCAAACAATTTTTTTTGGAGAATCACGTTTTGTTTATCAAATTCGATTTTTCTACATAAAATATGAAAAAATTATGTATAAAAGCGGAGCACTGATGGACAAACTTATGAAAAAATCATATTAATTTTACTCAAATTTTTTTTTTTGAAAATATGCTAAACAATACTTGAATGTAAAATCACATATTTATATCTAAAAAACTATTTTATGTAAAAATTTTAGAATATTATGAGATTTTGTTACAAGACCATCATACTTTAAATTTTATTGTGAGGTCAAGGAATTTATATGAATGCATGTAGAAGAGGAATATAGGAATAGAAATATCTTTACACGTCAATGTAAACATACATTTGTGTATATGTTCATGTAATAAAATGCAAAGATATGCAATTAAATAAATAAGGTTATGTGCACATAAATAAACGTATAAAAATGTGAATAAATTTTCCTACTGTTGTTGTTTGATGTCAATTAATACAAGTTGTCTAAGAAAATTATAGAACTGAATTGAGTATTTTGTTGGAAAATAAAAATATTTTACTGATTTTCGTTTTTACACGATTGGCTATTTAAAACGAAATTGTACAATAAAATAATAGATTCTTTTAAAAAAATTTCAAAAAATATATGTACTTAAAACGTTATCACTTTTTATAATTTTTCCTAAATTATAGACATTCCATGTTAATATGTATATGCCAAATGACTCTTCCACATAACATTGTATTTTTAATTTAGATTCTGTAGAAAAACGTACGGAAAAACTTAAATTCAAAGATCTGGGATATTTTATAGTAAAAAAAGGCTCTTGCAATTACCCTGCCCATAATGAGTCGGTACGTCACTGGTATCTATCCGTATGCATACGGTACATAGTATAAATATATACATATGTATACATAAATTTACTAATATTGTAGTAAAAATGAAACAATGTATTTTTGTTTTTGAAAGTTTTTGTTCCTTTTGTTTTTGTTACAAATATAACAACTTTGTACACATTAGTGTTAAGAATATGAAGATAAAATAAAATAAATGACGAAATATTCTCCAAGGATCTATATAAGGATTACTTAGTTGTATACATAGGTACATTAAATTTTTGTTTTATTTTCTAACTTTACAAACAATTTGGCAACAATCAAAAGAAAAAGCAATGTTTTCAACATTCATACACGTATTTGTATAACATTTTATATAAGTATAATATACAAACAGTTTATTTTTTAGTGTAATTAGCCTTTTAAATGACTATCATGTTATGTACATATATATATATATATTAAATAGCATATATGTACTGTATGAATTTGTGCAAAAAAAATTTAAACTTTTGTTATTATGAAGCAATTAAATGAGTTGTTGTAGACTTAAAAATGACATGAAAAAATATAGTGAAATATTGTAAATTGTTTGTTGCACTCTTCAAAAGATTAAAGCAATCTATGTATATTTGATTTCTATCAACATATATAATATATACCTATATCTTTAAACATAATATTTATTATTCATTTACCATTTTATTATTCTGATTTTATTAAATTTATATAAAATGTATGGAACTTTAAAAATTTTTTGTAAATTGTTGTATAAAAAATTTTTGTAAAGTTTTATAAATCACATGCAATAAAGTGCAAAATAATTAAAGGTTGACATTACATATATGTATGTCATACAAAATATATGATAATGTATTTAAACAGTGTAGGGATCCATTAGTGTATACGACAAAATCAAAGGTTAAATCTACGGAATCTGATGAATGTTTATATGACAAAATGAAATTATCAGATGAGGCTTAAAATTCCCATAAAAGGTTAATTATCGCCCATTTACTTTTAAAAAATTTGATGAAGCAAAATAATACAAATTTATTATATGCTGCAACAAAAAGTCTGGTATCAAGCAGTGTTTATTTATACGTTTTGCAGCAGAATCAGATTAAGTCTTGTAGATAAATTTGTCTTGTATGTAAACAATACCTTAAAATTTTTCCATATTTCAATAAGTAGACATAAGAATATTTTGTTAAATACATAAATGTGCAAGTAGATCTAAAAAAATGTATTATAAATATGTACAAATATTTTCATAATTTTCATAAATATACAAAAGTTATATAGGTAGGTGTAAAGAAGAAACACCACTTTGTCAAATATGCTTGTCTTAGAATACCATCTACTGTTATTATAAAATTATTTATTTATTTTGTTTTACATAATCTATACATACTATAGGCTTTATGAAATTTAATATCAATTTAATATTATTTATGAATATTATATAAAATCGCATTGTAATTTCTTCTTTTACAGTTATGACGCCGCCTGGTTCACCTCATATGAATGCTTCACCAGCAGTAATGACAGGTTCAACGTGCAGTGCTACCGGTGGACAATTGTGGAAAACTAGACTGACAAATATCAAAAATAGTTTCTTAGGAAGTCCACGATTTCATCGAAGAAAACTTCAAGGTAAAGCAAAAAAAAAAATTTGGACTGTTTAAAAACTTATTTCATTTTCTTTTTTGTTTTTTCTTTGTTTTTTGAAAATAAAGTTTCAGCAGATGAAGTTCATTTGACACCTGAATCTTCACCAGAATTAACAAAACGTTCATGGTTTGGTAATTTAATGACAACTGAAAAAGATGAAACATTTACGATATTAGTTAAAGGAAAGCCAATAGCAACGGTTAAAGCTCATTTAATACATGCATTTTTATCTGTAAGTAAAAATTTTAGATTCAACTCTTCTTCTTTTCTTTAAAGATGATTATTGTTCTTACGTAACTTTTTAATTATAGATGGCAGAATTGTCCCATAGTGTGGTTTCTCCTACGTCATTTCGTGTTGAATATAAGAGAAATGGAACAGGTCCTGTTATGTTTCAGCGTCATGTTAGATTTCAGGTAAAATTTTTAATTATTTTAACAGTAATACAATATTTTAAAATATTGCGATTCTACTATCGTGACAATATTGATATGAGAAATGTTTTCTTTATTTGTAATTTTTTTTATTATTGATTATAAAAATTTGTTAGTTACGAAATTACACATTGTAAGTGCAATTCTTATGTCATATTTGTGTTTATTCCCCCTCTTTTATTGTTTAACTATGTTTAATGAATGCATTTCGTTTGTATTTCAGGTTGACATTAGTGCTATTTGTAAACAAGGCGATGTTGCTGATTTATTATTTGCAATTACTTTTACCCTCCTATCAGGTAAATTATCAAGACAAGTAACATTTGAAATGACAAAATATTCAATATCAAATTTAATTTTATTTATTTTTATTTATTCTTTCTCATTTTAGGAAATATTCGTCGTTTTAGAAGAATATGTGAGCACATTCAATCACAAGTTTGTTCGAAACGTTTTCCTGGCCCAAGCAGTCCACCGACTATACCATCAGTTACTCAAGCGGTATCCGAAAGTTCCTCATGTGGTTCAGACTCAAGTGAAAGACTTTGTTATAAAAGGCAGGCAAGTACCTATATTTGATTAATTAATTCGAAAAAAAGAGCACAATTTCCTTAGCTTTTTGGTGCACATTTTTATTAAATAATATTTCACAGATTGAAAATGATTTAGAAAATGAAACGATATTCGATATGAAAACAGGAAATGGTCGTAGAGCATCTGCTAGTACGAATAATAACAATCCAGTTACTGATATACCAGGGAGCCCCAAAACAGTTCGATCCAAGTAATTCATTTTTATTTAATTCCTTTTTAAAAATTATAATCAATTATTTATTTAATTTGTATTAATATTAAATTAATAATATTCTAATTTAGTAAAATTTTTAGTTCTGAACAAACCGAACATGAAAGATCAAGAGAACGTCCAACTGAAAGACAAGCGACGACTATGTCGGGTAGTGCAATCGCATGAGAATTATTTCTCTGATTTAGTTGCCGATTAACAAGTATATGGATGACGAAAGGCGAAAAACAACAACAACTTCAACAACAATTACAAAATCAATTAATGAAGGCAACTTTATCAACAGCAACAACAACAACAACAACATCATCTTCTACATCATCAGAAACATCATCATCATTATCATCAACGAAAAATAATATTTATACAAACGATGTAGCTCAATCAAATCAATACGATCAATTTATTGAAAAATTATATGAAATACAGCAACAAAAAACAAAAGCAATGGCAGGAAATAAAATTTCACCAGCATCAACAAACACAATAACAACACCAACAACATCACCTACAATTACCCCAATTAAAACAACAATGATTACATCAACCGATGAATTAATTATCAATACAAATAATATCAATAATAATATTATTAATATTAATAATAATGTAATACCATATAGTGATAATAATAATAGTATTAAAAAGAGTGTACGTTTTGCTCCAATTTCACCTACTGCAACAACACGTATACCGCGTACAACGAAAATATCATTAGAAACAATCAATATTAGTAAAGATGTCATTAATAATTTAAATAATAAAAATAATTTTAATAGTGATAAAAGTAAAAGTTGTATTGATAATAGAGATAATCGAATATTAATTAATAATAATAATAATAATAATAATAGTATTAAAACTGCTGTAATTTTAACAACATCAACAACAACATCAAATGATATTAGAATATTAAGAAATAATAATAGTACAAGAAGTAATGCTGCATCAAGATTATCAAATATTATATCAAAATTTAATGAAAAACGTAAATATAATCAATATTATCAAAAAAGACAACATCAACAACAACAACAGCAACATCAACAGTCACGTAATAATAGAAAATGTTTTATAAAATTTTCTGTTTTCGTATTATTTCCTGCATCCATTGCAATTGCTGCCGCATATATATGTAAATTAAATACAGCAATTGGTAATACAGCAAATTTTGCAACCGATGCTAGTCATGCTCTTAACAATTATGCTGATTTAACATAAATTGTTATTATATATTCATACATAAATTAATTGCAAAAAAATCATATATGTACATAATATTGTATAAATGTGTATATTCGCATATATTCAAATTCTTGTTTTCTAATACACATACTATATACACATGTATACATTGTATCTATTTTTACTGTCGACTATATATTATTAATTTAGTTTTATAAATTATATAATTATATTTAAATTGTATTAAATTGTATATAGTGTTTTTGATTTTTTCTTTTATATAAATGGTATTATATAATACAGTGATATTTATTGTTTTAATTTATTTTAATTAAGAATTCAAATCAGTATAATGTAAAATTAAAAAAACAAAACAAAATGTAATGCAATATTGTATGATATTATATATTATAATTTTTCTGTTTTAAAAATTTAATGTATAATATTTAAAAAAAAATTAAGAATTAATTTAATTAATTTAAAATTAATAAATTTTAATCGTTATATAGTTTTTAATTAAAATATTTCAATAATTATTTATTTTGAGTTCTTCTCAAATACTATTCTCTAATTATAAATAATTAAGATGTATTTATTTTTATGATAATAATAATTATTTTATTGTTGATTTTAATTATTTTTAAAATTTATTGTAAAAATTTAAGAAAAATTAATGTATGAATTAATTATTTTGGATTTTGGTTACATATCTATAAAAGTTAAATATCAGTTATTTGCTTAAGTTAATTAAAAATTTAAATGTTCTTTTACATTTTGCTTAGAACTATTTTAACACGCAAGTGATCAGATGACGTGTCATAATAAACTCCCTATAGAATAAAATAATTTATAAAAAATTGTTAATTAAATTAAAATGCAATAAAAATAATTTCGTAGTGTATATATTGCTTTCTTAAACTGTTTTTAATTAAATTTTCTTTTTGGATCTTATTTTCTTATAATAGAAGATTATTGAAATAGAATTTTTTGATTATTGATTACCATTAAAAATAAATTATAAATTATAATTATAACCTTAGTAGCAAAATTTAAAAGAACATTTTAATTTCATAATTTCTAAATTTTTATGACTCTTATCATTCCATTTTTTTAAAAACGTTATACTTATAAATAATTTCTATTTTGTACATTCTTCAAACTCTAAATTAAAAGAAACAAAAACTAAACAATTTCACATTTTTTTATGTAGGAAACACCTTTAGAATGTCTAGTATGCGAAGCAAAACAAAAAAAAAAAAAAACAATATAAATAATCTAGAAATTGCAAAACAAATTTTCATATATAGATGATACGTTTCGAAAAGAAGAATAAATTAAAATTTATGATAGTTGCAAATTGATTTAGAAAGAACAAATATTTGAGCCCTATAAATTTCGCCAAATCCATTGAAAAGTAAAAAAAAAAAAATTTTCAAAATCGTAATTAATCGTATTTCCACCAACTAAATCAGAGAATTAAATTGAAATAAAACACTTAAAAATAAATTAAAAAACAAAAACTTTGTTTGAACTTTTAATTGCTAAGCTTGTTATTGCAAAAAGAAGCAAAAAAAAAAACCAAAAAAAAAACAAAAAAAAACAAAAAATTAAAAAAAAAAATTTAAAAAAAAAGTAAAAAATATGAAAAATATAAAAAAAAATTGTTATTTAGTATAAAAAAAAAATAATAAAACAAAAAAAATTGATAAAAAAAAACATAAACTATTTTGAATACTGAAATTAAAATTATAAAAATATCTTTTAATAATGAAACTTAAAACATAAATTAGTAAAAAAATTAAAAAATTTAAAAATTGTAAGATGTTTGAAACAAAAAAAAACACAAAAGAAAAACAAAAACACACAAAACTATGATAAACTGGTATTATAAAATATTGCAGCTGACAAAAATTTTAAGCTTTTGCTTTCAAAAAAACAAAACATTTTTTGCAATTTGCATTAAAATTTATTTAAGCATACCAATAAAAAGATAAAAACTAAAAAACAATAACTGAAATAACTGATTGTAAATTAATTTAAAAATTATTTATTTGGTTTCTTTCACTATTTCCTTCCATTAATCAGAATAAATTAATTTAATCCTTTATTATGTGAAACTCCAAAAAAACCAAATTCCCTAGTAATGTTATTTTAACACTTGCATATAGAATTTTAATTTTTTTTTGGAATAGCATTTCCAATATACTTCTTTTCTTTAAACAATTAACAATGTTTCATCATTATTCTTTAAGTTATGATAAAGACCAGATAATAAAATAAGATATTTAATTTAAATTTAATATATGTATCAGCACTTGTACTAAAATATTTAATTTTCTAAAAACATTCGATTACGATTTAGGATTATTCAAAAACATATCTTAGATAACCATACCGAAATTTTGTCAGATTAATTAAAACTTTTGATTCTAATATTTAATTTTTTCTAAAATTTGATTTCAAATTTAAAAACAACAATTTAAAAATAAATCTAATAACTACATATAAGTTTAAATAAACGCAGAGAATTTATTTTGGTTATGTACCCTTGGAAATGATATTTACGTAGCGCTTGCTATACATATGAGAAATCATTTAATTGTGACTAAATTTTTTTTAGAGAACAAAGGTATTATTATAACTTGCTGGAGCAAACTTGAAGTTTTTTTGAACTAGTAATAGTCACTACCATCAGGATTCAAACAAATTGGACAATTTTTTTTTTTAAATAATGATCATATATTCGCTTTTTTTCAAGAATTAATTAAACTATTTTTTACCCAAATTTAATTTTCTTTATAATTACTTAATGCCAAAACATTTTATTATTAAGTTATACTCAAATAAAATTAATCCAGTTTGATTTTAAGTTATATATCTCGAAGAAATGGGCGAATAAGCATTTTCAAATATAATATTTATTGTTTTTATTTAATAATTTTTTTTACAATCAGAAATTTCAATGAAAATTTAACAAAAGTTTGAGCTAAAAAATCCCACCAAAAACTCTAAAACAATGTTATTTTATTATAACAATACAAAATGAAACTTAATAATTATTTTGTTAGGAAATAATTTACTTTTTACTTGAAAATAATAATATTATTTAAAACATCTTACATACAAAAAAAAAGAAAAACTAAAATAAATTAATATTATAAATAATATGGTAAATTAAATTACTTTACAAAATGAGAAATTTATTTGTATATTCTATATAAAATAAATAAATAAAAAAAAAATTTAAAATAAAAACAAATACTAGTTACTATTTGTAGAAAAAAAATCAAGAAAAATTTAAAAAAACTGTGCAATATTGAATTTAAAAATTTAATTTAAAAATATAAAATAACTGATGGTATTACAACTATTAAATTAAAATAGAAATTCAAATATAAGGCTTTAATAAAAAATATAAAATAAATAACAAGAATTTCTTTTTTTTTTTGTTGTTTTGTGTGTTACAGAGTTGATTTCTTATATATGTAGATTCTTAATTTTATAAAGATTATAATTGAAGCTATATAATATACACTATCTAAATTATTCTATATATATATATATATATATATATATATATAATACAAATTCATTATAATACATAATATATAATATACAAAAAAAAAGACTAACAAAATTCAAAATTTTCTAAAATTTCTTAACTTTCACAGCTTTTTGTAATACTTATATATAGATATTTATTATATACCTATAGTTGTATATATATATATTATGATGTAAATATTACTATATACAATATTAAATAAAATGCTTTTTGAAAAGGCAATGTCCAAAAAAAAAAAATTTAATAAAATATAAATAAAACGAAAAATAAAATATTAGAAATGTTAAAATAAATAAAAGTTAAAAATAAAAATAAATAAATTTACTTTCATGCTTTTTTGAGAAGAACAACGCTTTAAGCCTACATAGTTAGCATTTAATATAAATATATATTATATACATACATAAATATAATACAAATAAAATTATTGTATTATATAAAATATATAAAATATTTTCCTTCTCTTCTTCATCCTTCTTCATTTCAATTATAGTCTTTTAAAATTTTTCACACACGTTTTTTAGTAATAAACTTGAAAATGAAAGCACTCTGTATAAATTTAATCTAT